AGACAGCAGTTTTATTTGCCGCTCTCAGTTGTCAACTCTACGGTGACGTCACCCCAAAATTACTCTCACGAATTCTGCGGCAATCGGCGCAATCTTGTATTCTATCATTCTTGCTTGAAAGTCGCATTCGTTCGGTTACATTTTCACCTCACCGGCGTGGCCAAAGAGAAATGCCAGTTCAAAAAGTTTATAATGCAAGAGCAATTGATCTTACTTTAATACATAAAGTCAAACGGAAAAGAGTAATAACTAAAGGCTCCGTTATGCATACTTGGCATGGCTTGAGAGCTGTCACATAAGAAATCTGTTAAATGAGCCTCGCGTGTAATCGGTTATCGAACGCACAGCACTACATACGTAGAAGTCTGTTGGTTTTTGATTTCTACGTAAAAATGGTATAGCAGTGCATGCAATGCCAAGTATGCATAACAGAGCCTTAAGTCATGTACATATTTGTGTTTTGCTTTACGTCCCACATTTAGTTCCAGGCACTCCGCTGAAAGATCTTTCGTCGTTGGAGCCAAAACGGTAAGCTTTACTTTCGTTGTGTCTTTTGCCCATGCTATTACTATTTGCCACTGCGATGAGAGGACGAACAGTTCGTTCCATTCTTCTCACATAATCAAGGTCAATGTTGCCATCTTCGCAAAAAATATATATATATATAAATTCATGCTTTTATGCTTCGCGGCCTTAATGATGCAAAGTAAAAACACAGTACTATGAAATAAGAGGACTAGCAAATTAGATAGTTCAACTTTGTTTTATTTTGGTTAAATGAATTTATCTTGACTATTAGTAAAATAAATCTAGAAATTAATAAGTAAAATAAATAATTTAGCAACCACATTTAAAATTTGCATACAAATCTGTGATTTACGTTATAAATTTGCCCTTAATTGGATTCCCATTTCTATTATTTTATAAGGGTGTTGTTATATATTTTTTTTTTTATTCGGTTGTAAATCCTTGTCGTAATTCAACTTTGTATTTCAAAAAAAAAAGAAGAGTAAAAATTGTTGAAGGGCTTAGATCTGTATAATTTTGAATTTCCTTTATTTAGATTAATAAAAATTTTTAAATTTAAAATTAATATTTAATTTTGTTCTTTTATGATTCCCGAGCCTGATATTCAGTTAGTCGTGGTGAGTAATAGGGATTTCCAGGTTTTTATAAAATTTTTTTTTGATAAACTTTGGAAGTTATGGTAGGGTGGGCGATCGTTGCAGTAACACCATGCAACGTACTCCATACTCCAACCCAAGCGGCGTCAAAACGTTTTGAGCAATCGTGTGTATCCGATTTCCTTTTAGATACCTTTCCTTTCAGCACGTAAAATAAAGTAGTTTTTCTGTGGCAGTTAGCTAAAACCGAAAATTAGGAGCAAGAATCCCATCCCGATAGCCGACGAGCAAGAGCCGGATTTACTACGTGCATCCGCTTCCTACCTTTTAGCATAGACTGTACTTTACGTTAAACGTTGCATGCTACACTTTTTGTATATGTATCTATAAATGGATGTGGTAGAAAAACAAACAAAATCACACAATTCAAAACTATCTCACAGCACGCAATTGAATTTTTAATGAAAAATGGGAAATGCCTGTAGGGTATTTTACCTATATGTTTTTATACTTGTTTAAATTCTTTATGTTCAATTTACGGTTCAATGATTTTGTTTGTTATCAAAAAGAATATTTTTGATTATTCAATAATAAACTTTCAAACAAGAAAGAAATAAATACTTTTAAATTGAACAATATATCTTACGATATATATTGGCGATCCTGCCATTCGAATCATTGAAATCGCCTGATATTGTGCATTATTTCCAACAAGCAACTTATCTTTCCACAAGCGTCTTTCAATTCCTCAAGTAACATCCATTTCCGGAACTTCTATTTCGACGCTGGAAATTTTATTATTTTGCTTCGGTTCATCAGTTTCTGCCACCGCTGCATCATCAACGGCCAACGTAAGTAACCTCACACCGGTTAGTGCGACAGTATTCGTGTTCTTGAATTCGATATCAGCTTCGTTTCCAACAACCAATTACACCGATTAACAGTCAGCAAGTTTACTTTTCCTTGATGACCTTAGTGTCACTAGAGGCTGTTCTTAATATTTTGTCTGTGGTAATGAACCGTTCCAAGAATGATAGAATACAAGATTGCGCCGTCCTGTGCGTTGACATTTGTGTACCACAAGTAAACAAAGAATAGAGCGAAAAGAAGAACGAGTTGAAACTGCCAAAGCAGTTTACTATACAGCGAAAAACGTGTTTTAATTTTGCTAAATGCGAAAATATATCATTTTCCACCTAATATATTAGAGAACAGTGAACATTTTAGTGCACTTCATTAATTTGCAATTGAGGCTGCTTCAGCAAACGTTTTAGTGCACTCCATTGCTTTGCAATTAAGGCTGCTGCAGAAAACTGCAGCAGCATCTCTGCGGGATTGATTAGTTAACTTTTTATTGGAGGCTGCGTGGAGCAGAAACAAAATCTTTGTGAGGAAATGCTGTTAATATAATAATGGAGAAACATTTGGGGAACGGCTTTGCCGTGCCCTATGTACACAATAGGTTCATTCCTTATCTTTTTGGACTAAAATCTGAAAAGTGTCAAAATGCCAGAGCGTAAGCAAAATGCGCTCACTAAAAGAGAATAACAGGAAAAGTAAAGGAACGCAAAAAACCAAATTTTTAGTCCAAAGATTGGCAACAACAAAGCTAACGTCAAATAAGAATGTAAATGTATGTACAAAACACCTTCACACAAGCACAAGCACAATAAACACTTACTACATCAATTATTTTTTGCCTCCTTCCAATTTCAATTCACTTTTTTATACTTTTTAGATTATTCTCACTTTTTGCGTATTCTTTAATTTCCGTTAATTTAAATTCAGTTGAGTTTGACACTTTTCAGGAATTTGCCAGAAAAAATTCTTCTGACTAAATCTGACTACTTCGGACTGATGAGAGTCACTCTCACCGAGTGTTGCTCTCTCATTTTTGCTGTCATTTCCGAGTTAAGGAACGCTTTTTGGACTAAATCTGACTACTTCGGACTTTTTCTGACTATTTCTGGGAGATAAGGAACGCTCCTAATATGCAGCGATTCGTCCCAGCGCTACACTTGCATCTACGCTTCTTGCATCTTGACGGCTGTCGCAATTTAACACACAGCACTTCATTGTATTAGTTTTTACGCAGTCTTCAACTCAAGAATCACTCACAAATTGCAAATTAACACAATTTAAACTGATTTTTCACTTATAGTTCAAATTTCTCTTTCCCTGATTTGTAAACAAAGGTTTATTTACAAGTTACCACAACTGTCAAAATCGGCAAAACCAAAGTAGCGGTACCACTGACGGCGCCACCTTTGTTCGCTGCACCGTGGAACCGTTCGGCATCGTCCAGGTCTGCTTATAACACGGGCTGTAAATGTAATAGTAGCAGAGCAGCAACTATCAACTTTATCATTGAAAACAGTTAACAGAGTAACATCAATATTATCGTCATCTGCAGATCAAACAACAACAACAGTCAGGCCTATAGCTACTACAACAACAACAACGAAAGAAGTTATTTTTAGTGTTGCTGTCGCAGGTAACGAAAGAATAAAATAAATAGTTGTTTTTCATTAAAAAAAAGAGGTTCGTTTCTGAAGTCTTTAGTTTATACAATCAGCTATTGTGAATCTATACTAATTATATAAAGAGAAGTACCTTTTTTTTGTAACAGGTAATCTCGCGAACGACTGCTCCGATTTTCATAAAATTTTGTATATAAATAGCTTTCGGTAACCACCATGTTTTAGGCAAAAAAAAAAATTACTTTTTTCGGGTAGGTGGACCAGGGACCGGTCTA